AAGCTATAAAACTTTGATTTAGTTAATTCATAGACTGAATCGGTTCGCGAAAAACTAGTTTATCTAGGCCCGCTATTTAAGTTATTTCAAAAGGTCAAATCAATTTGCGAAAAAAGCTAGCTTAAAAAATGTGTGCAATGGTATTATACTTTTACTTTAAAAAAAATTAAGCTTTTCGCAAAACTGTTCGGTCTATGAGATAACTTGAAATATTTTAACATTTTTCTGAGCACATTATTTATGCGATGAAACTTTAAAAAATGTCAAAATGTTTCATAGCGAAAATCGACTGGCGAGAATTTCCAGTTTTTCTAAGCAAGCTACTGAGGCAATTAAACTAAAAATTATCTCAAGTTTTCACAGAGCACGTCGATTGGCGAAAAGTTTCTGTTTTTCTAAGCAAGCTATGCAAGCGATGAAACATTGAAATATTTCAAAATGTTTCATTAAGCAAATCGGATGGCGAAACTTTGTTTTTCTAAACAATCTACGCAAGCGATGAAACCTTGAAATATTTCAAAACATTTCATAGCGCAAATCAGTTTGAAAACAGCTAGTTGTTTTCGAGCAAGGAATTCAAGTTATGAAACTTTAATTCATTTCTATTTAATTCATTGACCAAATTGGTTCACGGACAATTATAAAACTTTCTCAGCTAGCTTCCAAAGCTATGGAACTTAGAATTATTTCAAGTTAATTCATAGACTCAATCGGTTCGCGAAAACTTGAAGTTTTTCTAATCAAATTTTTAAAGCTATGAAATTTCGAATTATTTCAACTGATTTCATAAATCGAGTCAGTTCGCGAAAAGCCTTGAAAATTTCAAGCTATTTCGTTGACCAAATTGGTTCACGAAAAGTTATAAGTTTTTCTTAGCAAGCTTCTGAAGCTATAAAACTTTGATTTAGTTAATTCATAGACTGAATCGGTTCGCGAAAAACTAGTTTATCTAGGCCCGCTATTAAAGTTATTTCAAAAGGTCAAATCAATTTGCGAAAAAAGCTAGCTTAAAAAATGTGTGCAATGGTATTATACTTTTACTTTAAAAAAAATTAAGCTTTTCGCAAAACTGTTCGGTCTATGAGATAACTTGAAATATTTCAACATTTTTCTGAGCACATTATTCATGCGATGAAACTTTAAAAAATGTCAAAATGTTTCATAGAGAAAATCGACTGGCGAGAATTTCCAGTTTTTCTAAGCAAGCTACTGAGGCAATTAAACTAAAAATTATCTCAAGTTTTCACAGATCACGTCGATTGGCGAAAAGTTTCTGTTTTTCTAAGCAAGCTATGCAAGCGATGAAACATTGAAATATTTCAAAATGTTTCATTAAGCAAATCGGATGGCGAAACTTTGATTTTCTAAACAAGCTACGCAAGCGATGAAACCTTGAAATATTTCAAAACATTTCATAGCGCAAATCAGTTTGAAAACAGCTAGTTTTTTTTCGAGCAAGGAGGTTGCTGTTTTTATTTGGTTCGTTTCAGAATTAAATCAATATGTAAAGGCAAAATTTCGGAAAAATTGACAGGCAACAATATCCAGCCTTGAAAATGAATTGAGTTCATCTTGTCTAAAGAATTGAACTCCTGTCTAAAAAATTTGTAGAATATTTATTCCAGACTTAAGAAAATTTGAAAGTTCTAGAACATTCTTGGCCTTATCTTAAGCTTTAAGCCTCAATAATTTTTAAGCGTTGCATTCTAATGCTAAAACATTGCGTTCAGTTGAACATTGCGTCCATAGCGCATTCGGAGTTTCATTTAATATATAAGATATATATAAGATATAGATAGATAACCTTCAACTAAGTACTAGCAGCAAGAACTCTTCCAGCAGCAATAAACGTATTCAGTGAATGCTTATGTACTTGCAAGCTTGCCTCCATTAATCAATCGGCTCGCAAAAAATTAACTATTCTTACCAATTCTACATCCAGAATTGGTTCGCAAAAGTTTGAGGTTGTCAATTCAAGCTATTTATGCATGCCATAGAACTTTGGAATATTTCAAAGTGATTTAGCTTGAACCTGTTCGGAAAGTTTTTCTAAGCAAGCCATTCAAGCAAAAATATTTTGAATTTTACCGTGAATCGGTCGCAAAACAATTGTTTTTCCAGCAAGTCATTCAAATCATAAACTTTTGAAATTATTCATATCATTTCAAAAATTGAATTGATTTGCAAAAAATAAGTTTTCTATTGAGTGCGGGCCATTCAAGGGAAATAATTTCGATACTTTAAAAGTTAGAATACACTGAATCGATTAGCAAAAAGCAAGATTTCTGAGCAAGCCAATCAAGCACTGAAACTTATGAAACAACTCAAGTTCTTTGATATTCATTCGATGCGCATCAAAATAAAGTTTTTTCCAGCAATCGATGAAACTTTAAAACTACTGAAGTTGTTTCCAAGCCAGCCATTCAAACCAGGCAATTTTTGAAATTTTCTTGTTCTTTCATACTTTCAATCGATTCTCAAAAAGTTAGTGTTCCTCAACAAACCATTCAAGCGATGATACTTGAATTTTTTGAAGTTGTTTCTAATATTAAGTCGATTCGCAAGTAGTTTTATTTTCTAAGCAGGCCAATATAATCTTAAAATGATTCAAGTTATATTGTAGTGGAAAAAATTGCTAAAATTTGATATCTTCTAAGCAAGCTATTCAAGCAAAGATTTTCGGAACTTTTAAAGATATTTATGGAATACTCAGTTCGCAGAAAATTCAAGTTTTGGCTAGGCTAACTATTGAAGCGATGAAAAATTGAAACATTTTAACTAACTTCAAAGAAAAAATCAACTTACTTCTAACACTAACCCTAAAAAATGATTTGAAGAAAAATTCATGATTTCTATGCAAACTACTCAAGCGGCCAAAGTTTGAAAAATGGCAAACTATTTTATAGAGCGAATCAAATCGCAAAAAGTTCAAGCTTTTATAGGCAAGCCATTCCAGAAAAAGGAACTTTTTAAAAATTTTAAGAGCAAATCATATCGAAAAAACTCTAGTTTGTTTTAAGCAAAGTATTTTAAGCAAGCTATTGAGCAAAAAAAAAGCTAAGGAATATTTAAAGTTTTTTTCACAGCTTGAAGCGATTCACTACAATTTTTTTGAGCCGGCTACCGGGCAATAAAACGTTACGTTGTTTTTATAGCTTGAATCGTTTTGTTAACTAAAACTAAATTCTTTTACGCAAGCTATGGATCAACAGCTTATCATCATTTGAACTAATTTCTTTTGTTTTATTAACTTAAATTAAGTTTGCGAAAAAAATAAATCGACTCGTTTTTTTTCCAACGAAAAAAAAATGTCTAAGCAAAGAGGTTACTAATATTAATTAAGGGATCATCATTTCTACAGAATTCTAGAAAGTTTCAGAAATTGAAAAATTTGAAACTGTTACAAATTACTGAACGGTTAAAAATGGCGCCCATGGAAAATGAAAAACCAACTTTGTTAAACATGGCACCATGCCATTTTCAAAACGACTTACAACGAATTACAAGATTGTTTACAGGAAATCAACTTCGAGTACAGGATTTGATAAAACTACCTAATTGAAAATCTTATAACACAAACAATCAAAAAACATGAACATTGAAACATTGATTCTAAACTGAGAACAGAATAAACATTGAATTATAAACAAGTTCAAGAAACTTTTGAAACCTTGCAGATGCTAATTCAATTGTAATTTTAAACTTAAAAAACGCCAATTTTCTAGTTTGAATCAAATTAAGAAGCTTGAACACAATTTCAGAATTAAATTTATTTTCTCATATATTCTTGCGCTCTTTTGATACCGATAATTTTGAAAATAAAAATTGTACAAGTTTATCAAAGAGAGCCAAAAATGACATGGAAAAACGCAAGATAAAAACATTAGTGTTTCGTTTTTTTTCCAATGGCGCTAATTGTAGGTTAATTTTCATATTTTTGCGTGTACCTTTAAAAAATAATGGTTTTGATGATAATTTAGGCTGAACTTTAATCCTTGGTCCGTCCATTGTTCCTTCATCCTTGTTCCTGAAAATAGGGAGTAACTTTGTATTTGTGTGTCTTTTAACTTCCTCTTTTTTCTCTCTCCGTGCAAAAAAATACTGACTTGCTTTTTGAAAAAAAAACTTCAAGTAGCGAATTTCAAAGAAAAAATAAATGGCCGTAGAGCTGTGTGAACTTTTAGAAAAATTTATGACTGACACTTTTTTGTAAAAAAAATTATCCCAATTTGAGTAAACTGGATCAATATGCAAATTTTTCGTTTCGCTGGGAAATCTGAAAATTGAATTACACTTTCGAACTTAAAAGTCGATCACATTTTTTGTTATCTTTACACTTTTGCTGTTCGCTAGTGGAGTTTACCTTCCTTTTAACAAAGGAAATGAACTGAACTTGTAAGATATCAAGAGTCAAACCTGAAAAAAAGAGCCAGTCAAAAGTCAAACCCGAAGAGTCAATTCCTGAAAAAAAATCACCAAGGCCTAAATAAGAGTAATCACGAAGTTCATGACTCTTAATCATTGGAATGGTCGATTGATATATATTGAAGCCCTTTCAGTCGTGATTCGAACCACATTAAAAAGCTTTCAAAAAGGTGTTCAGCAAAAAAGTGTTTGAATTTTTCAAAAATTTTTCGTCCAATTTCAAGCGAACAAAGCGAGAGAGCAGACTTATGATGGGAGGCTGGTCGCAGTTAGTAGTAAAATAGATTGATTTTTACACTTGATATGTATTTAAGTAAATAAGGTTGATTTTTCAATAATTGATATGTAGTTTATAAGAAAAACTGTTGTCAAATGTCCCTTTTTTATATTTTCTGTTCATATCTCAAAACGAGCCAGTTATCTCAAACCGTTAGCTTTTGCTGTTCCTAAATCGTAATCAATCTGAAAAATAAAGAGTCCACTAGAAGTGTTAATTATGGTGCAAGTTCGCAAAGAGCAAGTTGTATTTAGGGCAAATCAGTAAGGAGGCAAAAAACAGTTATTGAGAATGGTAGTTTTTTAAAAATCACATCTTTCGAGTTTCAGCAAATCAATTGTCTATTTGACCCGCTAACTGTGAGTTGAAAATCACTTCGATAAAGTTCACTCTGCTAATTAAATCGATAAGCTTTTGCTAACTGCCCACCAGTCCGCTACATATGGTATTAGCCGCCTCAAACTCCTGCTTTTTTTATTCTATTCAGAATAAAACAGTAAGAGAACCAATTTTCAAGTTAATTTGAGTTGCAGCTTTATACAATCACAAAACATTTTCACAGCACAGTAAAACTCAACCTTTCATTATATCGGCGAAGGATTCCATCCATGTTTCAGCCTTGCATATTCTTTCTCCTCGAATAAAAGCGCTCACTTCAAGCATCAAAGTTTCGACGATTTGGGAAAAAATAAAAAAACGCTTAATTTAACGAATAGAGAAATCGCTATTGAAATTATCCTTAAAATAGTCCAAAAACTGAGACATGGAGTTGCATGCAAGAATATTGAGTCGTTCTGACTTGCTACAATTACGTTCGATCATCCAGTAAAACAATTTCTTGAACGATACAAAGTTGAATCCATATTTAACGCATAATTTCAGAAAATCTTCGATACAACACAAGGGGGTATTTTCATAACCAGCGAAGAGAGCTGGGTTTTCTAGAAGTCCTCTGGCTGACATGACTCCATGTGCTTTCGTTTTTTCAGAAATAAGTCGGTAATCCTCTAAATTAAAACAATCTCCATTTGCAACTACGGGAATTTGTAATGATTTCTTAATTTCAGCTAACTGGTCATGATCGGCAGGTTCTGTTCTCATTTGATGAGTTCGCGAATGTACGCCTATAAACGAGACGCCACATTTCTCAATTTGGCGATAGAGATCAACAGTTTCGTTTAAACTCGATAGCAATCTCAACTTTACTGACATTGAAAATGCCGCCTCATGTTCAACTTGGTTGCGAAACTGTCGAACGATGTCGAAAATCTTTTGAGGCGAATAGAGTAAAGCTGCTCCGTATCCCTCGTGCATTGCCCATTTTTGAGGACACCCGCAATTTAGATCGACCCCGTCACAGTAGCCCACAACTAGCTGACTGGCCCCAATAAAGTCTTCGACTGTATTGGCCGCAAACTGAGTTATGACAGGTCCAGTTTCGTCCTGAGATGTTACAAACTCGTGCGACCTTTTGGTTAACATCGTCAAAAACAGATAAACATTTACAGTTCTCCGCATAAAAAACTTCAACATTCAAAGATAATATATATTTCTCCACATAAAAAATGTAATATTTCAAAAAATTTCAAGAAAGACAAAATGAGCGATTGTTTTTTCAATTGGTCAAACTATTTTTCAAAAACCATTTATTCTTCGCTGTTTCTTACTTTGACCAGTCCAAAACCTTCCTTGTTCATAAAACTAGAAGCATGTTTGTCTGCTTATTGTGTCATGCATAGTTTACCCACCTTTTGGCAGCAGACAGTCGAAAGCTATCGGACATAATCATAGAAGTGTAGGTTACATCACAGCCGTATTTTCTCACCAGCAAACGAAAAGGAAGCTTAGAAAAACGGACCATAGGAGCGCATATTTTCAAAGGAGATTCTGATTCTAAGAGGAGCTTCCGTACATCAATTGCGCTTCTTTTAGGTAGTTCATACATGTCTAGAAGCCAGATACGATTCGAGAATTATTTTGCTTCAGACTACACGGCATGCAACAAGAAAAAGAAGAAACAAGGATAGCCTGGACAAACAAAAAAGAAAAAACTAGAAAAAAACTAAACTTTCCAATTTTTAGAAAACTTTATTGCCAATGATGCACTAACTGAAGCGTCCAAAACTAGTTTTCCTTTGGTAAACCATTTTTTGTCAAATGACTAAATTTATATCTAACAAACGATACTTGATCGCGTTACTCGCTTGAAAATAAACTAAAACTCACAAAATTCAAACCGGTTTTTCTGGAAAACCGGACAACTTTTTGAATTTTCAAATGTCGTTCGAATCACGACTAAAACCACTTTAATAAGTTAAAACATAGCCAATCGAAGATTAGAAAAGAGTAATGAACGCAAGTAAACATCAAAAAATTCACTGAATTTCTTGGATAAAATCTCAACTTTCGAATTTCAAAGAAAAAAATAGATTCCCTTTCAGATCTTTGAATTTCTAAAACAATTTATTATTGTCGCCTTTTTGATAACATGAACCTAACTTTAGAAAACTGGACCAATAGTTCCGCTGGGAAATCTTAAAAATAAACCCACTTTCGCAACTAGAAATCGTTCACGTTTTTTGGCGCAATTTACACGTTCGTTTTTGGAGGGTGCTATTTACGTCACTTTCATCAGATGAATTTCTAAATGAACTCAAAAAGTAGATTATACCTAAGAGCATCAATATTTAAAGACTTTTTCGTGGAAAAAAAACCAACAAAAAATCAGCAAGGTCTACATAAGAGTCTTCACTACGTTCATTACTCCTAATTATTCGAACCATTTCGAGGACCCATAACCCATTCTCATTTGAATTTAGACTAAAACTCAAAAGAGTCAACTCGGGTTTTCTCGACACTGGGTCAACTTTAAAAAAAACATGTTCGAATCACGACTGAAAAGGCTTTTATTTGATTCACGACTTAACCCATTCCGATGATTATTTGTGTTACCTGATTTTGCGGGCAAAAGAATACGAAAGAAGAAACTACAACACCCGAATACAAAGTTCCACCCCATTTTCAATGGTCGGAACAATGAGCCATCCAGAGAATTCGAAATCAATTCAATTCTATGCAATATTCAAATCAATGCATTTAAATTCTTCTGTTTTGGCCTGAAAGCACGCGTTTTGGCATTCATGCTGCAAATTTTGATGAGCACTTGTCACGAGGTTTTGACATTCACGTCGTAATATTTGGTAAGCAGTTGTCACGAAGTTTTCGGAACAAATATTACATATAAGATTGTCAAAAGCTCCCATGATATCACTCTGTTGGCACCTCTGAATCTTTGTTTTCAAAAATTCTGATAAATTGATATCAAAAACAAATTGACCTTAAATTTGAAATGCAAAAGACTGAAATGCTTAAAGTTTCCAAACAAACATTTTCCCGTGAAAACCTTTGAATCAAAAATATCTGTAGAATATAACAATGTACAATGCCCGAGATTTTCTTAATTAATAAGAATTTCGTGAAGTTTCGTTGAAGTCTGGGCTGTGGTAGCCAAAACAACAAATACTAATAATCTCGAGACGCTTAATCGAAAACGCTAAATATCCAATTTTTAAGCAGTAGTTAAGCCTGCAAAAAAATATATCCTACCCATGCGCAAACCACTGGTCTTCATGACACTAAATGACACTTGAACATCAAATCAAGAAAAAATCAAAATTAGGCATAGCAATCAAAAACACCAAATAACTGAAGCATCATTCCAGAATAATTAAGAAAACTGAATGATTTTACAAACCAAGTTGATTTTCAAAGCAGTTGGCACATTTAATGCAGCTCTCCGATAGAAAAAATATGTTTCTTCCTGATTAAAAAACTGAGGCTGAATATTTTGAAAAGCGAAGAGCACTAAAACTGACATAATCCTCAACTTTTGCAAACTTTTTTTTATTAAATCGGTCAATCTATTAAGCTCGTAATCCCCTGTAAAAAGCGGCGAACTAAATTATACTAGCGCAAAAAACGCACCTACGATGCTTCAAATAAATCGTTGAGCGTAAAAAGAGTTTTCGAAGACATGTACCAAAACAACGATATTTCAGTGACCCTAATTTATGGCAACCCTGAAGATAAACTGGGCTCATCTATCAAAGGGTTTCTTTTTCATAAAAAAAGCCATATCTCGAAAATCAAAATCGTTTGAGCAGATAAAATTATAGCATAGATTTGCGACCCTATTTTATACCCTGCACCATCCCAATATACGGTTGAAAATTTCAATTTCTACTAGTTGTCTAAAATCTAAGATTTTTTGAAAACGTATTGAAAAATCAAGAGAAACGCCATCTCTTGGGAACCAAAAGGGTTTGAGAAGTCACATTAAAGGCCAGATTTGCAACGCAGAAATGTACCTGATAAACCCCCGCCTTAAGGTTGAGAACTTCAAGTTATGTTAATTTGTTTTATATCTAATTTTTTGAAGAAAAAAAATTGAAAAAATCATACAACATGTCTCGAAAAGCAAAAGTAATTGAGCAGTCGAACTTGGACGTCAGATTTGAATTCTTTGACTATACCCTGGGAGCATCCCACTATAGGGTTGAGAATTTCATATTTTATTACTTTTTTCAAATCTAATTTTTTTTGAAAAAAGGATGAAAAAATGATAAAAAACGCCATATCTCGAAAACCAAAAGAATTTGCACAGTATAATTGGACGTTAGATTTGCAACGCCTGAGTGTACCCACTTTCAAGTTCGGTTAATTTTTATATCCAAGAATTTTGAAAAAAAAAATTTAAAAATTCATAAAAAACGCCATATCTTTAAAAATAAAAGGGTTTGTGCATTCATACTCAGACGCCAACTTTGCAACGCCTAAGTGTACCTTGACAGCCCCCATCATAGGATTGAGAAATTCAAGTTCGGTTATTTTTTTGATATCTTAAATTTTTGAAAAAATCATAAAAAAATAACATATCTCGAAAACCAAAAAAAATTGAGCAGCCGAACTTGTGGGCCAGATTTGAAACCTCTGAATGTACCCTGGGTGGGCCCCACTATAGGGTTGAGAATTTACTTTTTTAAATCTAGGTTTTTCGGAAAAAAAAACGAAAAAATTATAAAAAAAACGCCATATCTCGAAAACCAAAAGAAATTTGAGCTGTATACTTGGAGGTCAGTTTTGCAACACCTGAGTGTACACTCACAGCACCCTACTATATAATTAAGAATTTCAAGTTTGGACATATTTTTTATATCTGTTTTCTGAAAAACAAATTGAAAAAATTATAAAAAAAGCCATACATCGAAAACCTATAAGATTTGAGCAGGCATACTTGAACGCCAGATTTGCAACCCCCGAGTGTACCCTGACTGCACCCCACTATAGATTTGAAAATTTCAAGTTCGCTTGGTGTTTTTTGTTTTCATTTCTAAGATTTTCGAAAAAACAAAGAATCATAATAAATGCAATATCTCGAAAACCAAAAAGTTTTACATCGAGAATATCGGAAAAATGTACAGTTAAAGCAGTCGCGCTCCAACAGATTTCGAAACGTCGACTTGAGAAATCATTTCAACTCTTGCAATGTTTTGGCATTTTAACAGACCAAATTAGGGACTTCTAAACACCTGCTAAGTGAAATTTCTTAAGCATTACAAAATACGATATAGTTTAAAGGTGCAAAACTTTTTCACTAAAAATGCAAAAAAAACAAGCTGAAAAAAATTAAAAAATTAAATACGTCAACATTGAGACTTGTTTAACATGTGTCAAGTGAAACGTCAAATAAATAAGGTATAGATTGTTGCTGTTTCATAAGAAACTAAGCGGAAACGAACTAAACACTGAGCGACCAAGCTGAAAAAATCCGACATCCGATAAATATCGGAAAAATTTAGATAACGATTTGATAACTCTTGATAATTAAATTTTGCGCATATCTAAAACGAAAACCCGAAAGATACTATCGACCAGCAGTTCCGTCAGTTCACAGATAAAAAGCAACAGCTAAAAAATAACCAACAGAAAACTCGGAAGAGCATTAAAAAACTGAAAGTTATCAAAAACGTGTGATTTTGTTTTTTTTTCTCCTAATTTCGGGTTTGATAGAAACAAGCTCATCACTTTCAAGCTCTTTCTAACTCAAGAAGCATTGATTGGCAATTCTTTCATTAAAAAAATTCAATATGAAAACAGCCAATATACAGTTGGAAAAGTGTACGAAGAGGCGAAGCGGAGCTTCGCATTACTTGCGATACAACGAAAACGTAGCATTGCAAACTACCAAATAGACAGTGAGATGAGAAAATGATGTCGAAAAAAAACTTGAAAAACCAACAATTTGTTTCGAATGACAAAAAATTAACCCTCAGGAAAACACGAGAAGCACAACCACTAGCATTGAGCTGCTAGTATTTTCCGAATCTTCACTAAGCCAGCAACACGTGGTTAGGCATCAATTGATCCGAAAACAAAAAATGCTAAAAGAAATTGTTGTCCAAAAACTTGAAAAATCAACAATTTTTTTTGGAAAAACAAAAAATTCTATCTCAGCAAAACAGATGAAAAACCACTAGCATTTAACAACCTTTTAGTAATTTCCGAGCGTTCACTAAGCCAACAACCCGTGGTTAGACATTAATTGATCCGAAAAGAAAAAATGCCAAAGAAAAATGTTATCAACAAAAAATAAGCTAAGAAATTCACTAAGCCGACAAAAAAGAGCGGAAATAATAGGACGAATAAAATTTCCACGACGTTGTAGCACTTTGAATTCAATACACAAGATTTTTTTCCGCTGGAAAATCACAAAATTGATGTCCAGTTTTAAAACGAAGTGATTCATTTCTTTCGTAACTTTTTCACTTTTGATATTCGATGGTTCAGTTACCTTATTTTAACTTCAGAAAGGAGGTCAACTTAAAAAGAAATCGTAAAAATTGAAACTCGAGCGTGAATAAATATTAATGTTTTCTCCTAAAACATCAAAGAAAAATCATCAAGAACCATATATAAGAAATTTACTTCGTTCATAACACTTAATATCATGATCAAAAAAACTTTCTCAGTGGTGATTCCAAAATACAAAACAAGCGGTGATTCCAAAATTCGATACAAGGATAGCCGGTTACTGTGCAAGTAGCACAGAAAGTTCAGACCATAGCCTTAAAACAATACAAATTTTTTGTTCAAATTAATGTCGTTTTTTTTCGGTTTAGTGTGATTTAAAAAAAACCTGGGTGAAAAAATAGAATATAAGCAAATGCGACAGTGATAGTCAAAACGGCCATCTGGAAAACAGTTTTTGAATAGAAACGAAGAATTTTGAACTTTAATTAGACCAAAAATCAAAAATTTCAAACCGGTTTTTTAAATGTCATTCAAATCACGACTGAAAAAAAAACAAAAAACATTAATATAATATACCAATCGAACCAATCCGATGGTTACTTGTGGAAACTCATTTTGAAAACAAAAAAAGAAAAAAACTAAAACACACCCGAATACAAAGTTTCTCCACATTTTTCAAATGATCGGAACATTTTAAATTTAAAATCAAGCGCTCTAATTCCTATTTTTTCTCAGAGATCAGATTTTGAGCTCCATTTGAGAAGCTTATTCAAAAAGTGAGGTTCAATGCAAATCGAAACTCAAGCCTATTGAATATAAAAGCTTGAAGAGTGAAGAAACTTCAAAATTTTTCCTCAAAACAAACCAAACTACCCATTCTAGATTAGTGAAAACTGACATAACCTCCCTCAGTAACACTCGAAAGAAACTTTGTTAAAATAAATCAGGAGTTGTCACTGTATGTTCTCATTTAAAACAAAGTGTTAAAGGTTTCAATTACAACTTTCACAAACTGTATATCAACTCAGCGGCACATTAAATAATTGCTCAGCCGCTCCAACTAGATTCTATCAGTTCAAATAGTGTATCATCAATATCGTGCACAGCTCTCAATCATAATGTGGGGTTCTCCTGTCACTTCCGGCATTTGGTAATCTAAACAACAGGAACTCGTCTTGCCTTATTTTTTGAAATGGCTTTGTCACAAACTAGGCAGACGTATTGTCCATAAGATATAACTATAGTTCCAACTGAAACATGCCAAAAAAAACTACAAGACAAAAATCAATCCAAGAGAAAAAAGACAAGACGGATGAGTAGACCTCGAATCAAGCCCGCGCTTTGTATAAAATTCTTTTCAATCTACTTGCATAGAGCTAATAGTTCAAACTTTGCATAACATGAAAGATCAAGTCATCAAGAGTAGAAGTAGAAAGAAAAACAGTTCCCGAGAACCATCAACTAAAACATCAATTGTTTGGAAGCCTTTAAATTTCGAAAACCTTCGCGAAAAACAAGATGTGAACTGAGAGAGTGAACTGACCTTGGAACATGTCTCTTGGGAGTATCTGCTCATCGTAGCCAGTGAGGGATTCCCACAGCACGTGACTGCTTCTCAAACAGGGAAGTCTTTCGTGCTACAAAAAAAAACAAATAGCTACTATGGTCATGAAACTTTATTTACTTACAAAGATTCTATTAAAATCAAGCTTGGCAATTTCATTTGGTATATTCCTCCAAAAAATTTCCAGTCTCTTCTTTTTGACAAAGTATTTCTTTAATATTCTGGCATTCGTGCGATGAAGCATACGCGTTGTCTAGGTTTGTATGTTTGATTCATCTGTAGTTTTCATACCTTGCTCAGCACTCGCTCCTCCATGCGCATCTTCATGGGCAGATGAAGTCCCTCTGAGTGTCTCAGCTGCTGCAACATGAACTCCCTCTCCTCCTTCTGAATACACATACCTCGATCTTTACCTATCCTTATATACACTTGTTCTAACGACCACTCTCGAAGAGTAGTAATACTGAAGCTCAAAAAATTTCGCAACATTTTTAGCAGCTTCTATAATGGCGCTATTATAATCCTGATTCTGATTCCATAATACATATATATTATATGTATATATATATATATATATATATATATATATATATATATATTACCACTGGGTACATTTGATACTGTTCGTTGTTTTGTTATGTTATTTACTCAAGCAAACGTCTGTGTTGTAATTGGAGTTCAATTTTTCCAAACGGACTCACAAATTTGTGTTCAATTTTTGGGCTTATTTTCATCGATGAGGGGCTCAGTAGCACGTGTTTATCCGCTCTAATCAAGCGCCTGGTATTTACGGAAGACAATGCTTGATAATCCGATGGTTCCTGGTTCGAGTTCCATATTCGGCTCATTATTTTTTTTTAGCCTTATTTACTTAATTTCGTTTTTTTTCTATTTTAAGGACCTTTTTTTTTGCAGTTGTTTTGCTTGTTCTTGCGAAGTGTAGCTTCGCCTGTATAAGAAATTTTGGATTTTTTTTGTTTATTTATGCTTGAATTAGCTTGTTTAGAAATGACTGACAAGCATTTGATACTGTTTGATACTTTTTTCTATCGTCATGAGAGATATTAATCGTTTATAACATAAGCACCGAATTTCCAGATCATTGTTAATACAGATTCTAATTTTATTCCCTGAGAAATAATGATCATTAAATTCAGTAGATAAAGAAAAACTTATTTTGTGCATACAAATACTGTAGCGTAAATGGAACAATTGCACTTTTTTGTCGCTGAAAAAGAATATACAGTTGATTCTGATTCATAGACCAATAACTCACCTGTGGGTTTAGGTTCTGGAGAGGATGTACTAGGTCCAAATTCACTTTTCCATCAAAACTAAAACAGGCAACTGGCGATTCGTATCTGCTTAAATACGGACTACATCATCGAAAATGCATGAATTTCTTTGATCAAACAATATATAAACAATGGCTTTCCTTTATGAAAACTCAATGTGTTCTTATAATCCTCTCTATAGAGCACAATGCAAGTTAATACGCAAGTGGAGATCATAGTGTCATAATCCTTCAACTTTCAAGAGAATAGCTCGAAATCATTGAGTTTAATTCAAACAAAAATCTTCATAAAAGTTATTTTCTGTCCAAAAAAAAAGATATTTACCCAGTGTTTAAGGGATTTTCGGCTAATTTGCCAAGGTCGCTTGAGCTCACAATACTGCTGCAATTCGTTTTCTCGGTTGATTCCGAAAAACTCTTTCCTGGAGCTGCAAACATTTTCACAATCTACAAAGAAGATAAAATTTTGCCTGACATCCTCTTTTTACCACTTAAAAAGAAAGAAAACATTTGTTTTCCCTGTGGGTCTTTAGCAACTAAATTAACTTTTAAAACAGAACTAACGCACGACTCGCACCTACGGTGCTTCAAATAGATCGTTGAACTTAAAAAGAGCTTCCTAAAACATGTTCTAAAACAGCAATTTTTAATGCAACTGTGAAGATAAACTGGGTTCATCTATCAGGGGTTTCTCTTTCATAAAAAACGCCATATCTCGAAAACCAAAGTGATTTGAGCAGAGACAATTAGAGGGCAGATTTGCTTTTTGAAAAAGGATTGAAAAAATTATTAAAAAACCATACCTCGGAAACAAAAAACTTGAGCAGTAGAAGTTAGAAGCCAGATTTCTATGCTGACAAAAAAAATCATTAAAGGCCATTTCTCGAAAACCAGAGATATTTGGGCAGTCAAATTTGAGGATTAGATTTGCAACCACTGATTGTACTCTGACAGCATCCCACCATATAAATGAGAATTCCAAATTCTGTTGGTTTTCTTTTAAATATAAATTTTATAATAAAAAAAATTGAAAAAATCATAAGAAAACAGAACATCACGAAAACCAAAAATATTTGAGCGTTCTTACTTGGATGCTAGATTTGAAACCTCTCAGTGTACCCTGAAAGTACCCAACAATAGGGTTGAGAAATTCATGTAAGTTTAGTTTTTTTCTATATCTAAGTTTTTTTGGATAAATGCATAGCCAAACTGTGCATTCTGTGCATTGCAAGCGGATTCCGCAACAGGCCAAAATCAGATTTGTCGCGGAGTCCGCAACTTTGCTACTTTTCTTTGATCTTCTTCGCTGTTTTGGATTCCACAAACAAATACCTAAAACACTGTACCGCTCAAAATCGTTCCGAAAATAGGCGATTTTGCGGAATCCGCAACCGTACTTGCGGAATCCAGAATAGTTTGTGGAATCCACAAACAAATAATAAAACATTTGTATAGTTAAATTGAGCTGTTGCGGACTCCGCAACTGTAAGCGGAATCCGCAACGTGTAAGTGAAATCCGCAAACTAAGTGGAATCCGCATTTTGTTTGCGGATTCCGTTCACATATGTATGTGTAGTATAGCGTTTAAAATTATATGCTTCCAACTCAAATAAAAGGCCATACCTCGAGAACCAAAAGAAGTTGAGCAGTGATGGTTGAACCCCAAATGTGCAACCTCTGAGTGCGCCCTGACGGCATCATACTATAGTGTTGAAAATTTCAAGCTCCATTATCGTTTTAGAAAGCTTTTTCATAAAAAAATTATAAAAAGCCATACCAAAAGGATTTGAGCAGTCATACTTGGACGCCAAATTTGTAACCTCTGAGTGTAACCTGACAGCACTCCACTATGGGGTTGAGGTTTTCAAGTTCGAATAGTTTTTTACTGGTCAACAGAAAAAAAATATCTCAATTACTACATTGATCAACAACCAGTTGAAACTTTGGTCTCAGTTCCTGTCAACCCAACTTCGATCTCAAATCCTTTCAACTTCGATCCCAAATACTGACCTACTGAACTTCGATCCCTAATACTGACCTACCGATCCCAATTACTGACCTACTTCGATCTGAACTTCGATCCCAAACACTGATGCAATCCTAAATACTGACTTAAGTCAGCGATATGCTGTGCGTTGTGTTTCCCGAGACTCTCAAGCCATGGACTACAAACATTTATATTATTCGGTGTTAGGCTTCCAAAAGCAGTATTTGGGATTGACGCAATCCCAAATACTGACCTAAATTGGCGATATGCTTAGTGTTGTATTTCCATACACTCTCAACCCAAAATTGATTTTATTCGGTGTTGCGTTTCCAAAATACTAAAAGCTGACATCCAACTATTTAGTTAACAAAGGTTTTGAGATTTGTTCGTGGATTCCGATGACAATCGTTAAGTCCTTGCCTTTAAACTCCGCATTGCTATAGATAAGAACTCCAGCTCTAGCTAGCAATTGTTCATATGCAAGTTCAGTAATATACAAAATTCTGAATCCACTTACATTTTGCGGAATCCGCTGACATTTGAGGATTCCATTTACAAATTTTGCGGATTCCACTTACATTTGCGGATGCCACTTACATTTTGTGGAATCCACTTACAGTTGCGGAATCCAGAACAACTAGTTTTATTCGCTTGTTGTGGAATCCGAGACACAACAAATGTGCCGACAAAATTTACGTTTCAGATATTTGTACGCGGAATCCACGGAAGTTTCGTAAGTGGAATCCACTGACATTTTGGAACATGTTTAAAAGTTTGTCTATGGAATCCAGAAACATACAGACACAAAATTGTGCGCCTATCCAGTGCAGTTTGGCCTCGTAATGAAACTCATATGAAACGCCATATCTCGAAAACCAAAAGAAGTTGAGCAGTGATGGTTGGACGCCAAATAAGCAACCTTTGAGTGTGCCCTGACGGCACCATACTATAGTGTTGAAAATTTCAAGCTCCATTATCTTTTTTGTAAGTTTTTTCATAGAAAATTTTTTAAAAAATCATAAAAACGTCATACCAAACGGATTTGAGCAGTCATACTTTGACGCCAAATTTGCAACCTCCGAGTGTACCCTGGCAGCACTCTACTATGGGTTTGAGATTTTTCAGTTCGGTTAGTTTTTTATATTCAAGATTTTTGAAAAAAAAAATTGAAAAAATAATTGAAAAAACGCAATATCTCGAAAACCAAAAAGTTTTGAGCAATCATAGTTGGACGCCAGATATGCAAACCCTGAGTGTACCCTGACAGCAACCCACAACAGGGCTGGTAATTTCAAATGTAGTTAAATTGTGATACAAAACTCTTTTTAGTTTTCCGTTGCGACTATCGGAAAAATTAAGATTTAAAGCATTCGCGCTCCAACACTTTGAAACATCGACTTGAAAAAACATTTCAACCCTTGCATTGTTTTGGCCTTTAAACAGACCAACATAGGTACTTCATAAACATGTGCCAAATGAAATTTCTTAAACCTTACAAATTACGATAAAGCTTAAATGTGCAATAAATCGTGCGACTTAGGATGAAAAAAAAGAAGGTTCGTACTGATACGCTCGCTTCGCAGATGAAGATTAACGACACTATCACAATAATGTAAATAGGAAGCAAATAAATTATTTCGAGTAGGAACGCAAATAACTGAGCTGAGTATAACTACTTGACTAACTATAGTCGAACTAAACCTACTTGAATAACCGAGAAAGCCAGGAAATAAAGCAATTGACTTAATTTTGAAAAAAAAAAAACACTTTTTGGATTTTCGGATATCAAAATAAGAAATACAATTTAAGCCTCAACCCGCTTTGAATTTCAAGACGACTTTATGATTGACACTTTTTTGATAAAATTATCGCAGTTTCAGCAAAAGTTAAAGTTTTTTTCCTCTGTGAAAATTAAAAAGCGATTTCCTTTTTTCGAAACTAGAAATAATTTACGATTTTTCACGCCGTTTCCACGTTCGTATTTGGAGCGTTTAATTTATCTAAGCAGATGAATGTTAATTGAATTCAAAAAATGCATATACACCTAGGTGCATTCTTAAATTCATTAATATCAATGAATGCACATCTGTATTTATTAGAACACTTTACATCTGTAGTTATTAGAGCATTTTAAGTCTTTTTCCCAAAAAAAACGCAAAAAAATTACAAAAACCTATATAAGAGTCTTCACTTCGTCCATCGACTCTTAATCAAAAAAAACTTATACAAAAAAGTAACACCAACAGCTTGTGATATGTCTCAAACCGTAGTTTCAGATCCTAGAAAAAAAACTGAACACACCCACAGCTTTCACAAACCATGTACTTTGTCGATACAGTGCATATTGAGGACTTTGTCCATTCATTTGGAACATACTTTTATGATATTAAAGTTGAAGCAAAAAGACATTAAAAACTCATACAAATTGAGAAGAAACGAGTTCAGGCAGATACTATACAAATAGTAGTTTTCCATAAAACGAAAAAAAAAATAGAATTCTTTCAAGTCAATAAACCTGCAGCCCATTAAATCCATGGGAGTGATACCCTTTAACAGCAGATTTATCAAACAATTCTGCTAAAAATTTGAAAAATGATTCTTTTCAAAAACTTTCATTTCATTAATACTACATTTGAGCCTGAATAACAAAATTTCAGGCCAATTTTCCGCAAGATTTAAGAAAATTTATGAATTTTTGGAATCAAAACACTGGAAAGTAATAAACAAAATATAACCCACAATTATAAAAATACACCAAAAAATGAAACGAAAGCCGTAGATTATCATTAGTAAAACTGTTTTAAAAAAAAAAGTAGGAAAATTATCAGCTCAACCCACCCCCCCCCCCCCCAAAAAAAAAATTACATCAAAATCTTTGTTTGCTCAATATAATGTAAGCCAAACCCTTTTAAAAATCTGATATACTACAATCGAAGTTTGTAAATTTATAGCCAACACAACTAAGCGCATTTCGAATACAACATGTATTAAAAATGCTGACATGCTCATTTCTGAAGTGAACAAAAGTACATATTTAGAGATGGCAACCAATTTCAGTCATCCTGTGAACATAGTTATTTACGAGGAAAAGTCTAGTACCCAGTTGCAACACGTTTGCTTATCGCAAGAGCAATGATACCATACTTGAAGCGCTATTCATTGAGGTGACTACTATAAAGCAATTAACACTCACCGCCAAACTTCAATCCGCCCATTTTATGACGAGGGCACAATGGTTTCTCCAACTGCTATTGCAAGATGGTTTATTTGGAGTAACTCTACACTCTACGACATACTTAAGCACGCAAAGCTGCTCCGTTTTACTTATAATGTTAATTCTCGAGTCGCTCTAATTTTCTTGGGCGAAAAACTAAGCGAACAAAATAATTTAAGTTTGGCGAAAATATATAAAAACCAACAGCAGAAAAACCCCATCATCTGTTTTTGACAAAACAGCAAGACTTCTTTTGATTTTAAATTATTTTAATAAAAAACCGGTTCCATTTAAACATCTCTGTTAACAGGGACTGTTTCACGTTATCTTGGAGAATCAGAAAGCATTTCTGGTCCATTCAGGAAAGCAACTGCAAGAGAAGTTGCGTTAAAGCAAAAACAGAGCTCAGTAACACGTGCAAACTTGCGTTTTTTGAACAAAATTGCGTTCGCGTTTTATTCAACAGAAAATAAATTAACCAAAACTTAAATTTAATGGTTCACTCAGCATACTCATTTTTACACGTACGATCGAATTTTTCCACTATCTTATATGACTGAAGCCTTTGAAACCTCTTTAATAAACTATACTTTTATTTTCGGGAAACAGTGAAAGTTTGGGAATGTTTCAATTCATTCTAAATAAAATCGATACAACTCCCAATTTATACACAATGAGTCGCACAGTTACTCAATTGCGCAAGAGCAACGCAACGATTACGTAACATACACATCACTCGTCGTCATCGTCTTCATTCTCGTCGTTGTTGATGTCGAAGTATCTCAACGTGTAGGAGTCCTTCTCAGTCGCTACAACTCTGAGCCAATCTCTCAAGTCGCTCTTCTTCAGGAACTTTTTAGTGAGGTACTTCAGATATCTCTTGCTGAACTCAACGTTGGCAGTCACTGTGATGATTTTCTTGTCACTTGTAATCAAAATTTTGTTTCCCAAGTTTGCAGTTTTGCCGTCCACCTGCACACAACAGAAAGCTTATTGTTTGAAATCTGCCTTGTAACATTTTGATTAATAATTTTTCTAGAAAATCGAGTATAATTTGCAATTTTTAAACTCAAACGTTCTTTTTCGGAAATTTCTGCTGCGGTCAAATTCGAGCTCGAGTCATATTTATCATATTATTCCCCGGCAACAATGTGCTTGGCAACTTGAAACTTGACATGGCTGATAACACCAGAAAATATCATCCTACACTAGCTTCGCAGTAGTCTTTCTTAATTTCTTGATACGTGAGTGGCCTACCTTTACTTTGTCCTTGAGGAACGCCTCGAACTTTTTGATGTCTATGATTCCGTCATCAATGGGGTTGGTGAGGTCGATCTTGTACTTGCTCACTCCCTTCACCTTCTTATCTTTCTTTGCCAGAGGCATTGTTGGTCAACACGGGATCTGAAAGACGTTAAAAAGCTCAAGTTAACCGAAATCCGCTACGATTAGAACCATTCACAATTATTCTTTGGTATCCCCGTTGTTTTTAGCAACAAAATTCCATCCTACAATGAAATAATTAGCAGTTTAGTAATACGGATATTGTTCCTTATAATGAATCTCCTGCTTCCATAAAAAGCCTATTGTTCCATAAATGCATTCAAAAATTAGTTTGACTCTTTCAAAAAACCTCAGAATTAATTTTTTTGAACTTGTAGAACACCGGCTATCCATCAGCCGAAAACAAAGAGCTATATATTTATAGTTTAGATTAAATCAACATCTCAACAAGTGTTTTGAAGCACTGAATTGTGTGTATCACATTTCAGTTCAGCATAAATAAATTTTTCACAGTTTTTGATCTCCAATACGAGATTTGATATCAATTGCATTGATTGGAGTACCATAAAACAGCTTATAATTGAAGCTTATTGCTTTTCTTCGACCGTTACTTTTCCAGCTTTTCTGGATTTAATATAGCCCAACACGATGCCCATTGACGTCCACAAAGGCAAAGACATTGGCACAAACATCGGCACATAAATAGCATATTTCTGGTCTTCAGGAAAATAAAGCATTGCCAAAATGGTTGGATCTGAAAACGCTTTTTCAGCTAACTCAGTTGCAATCGAGGATTTTTCAAGAGCTTCTGATAATTTGCCTCCTGTTGCAAGCACATTATGGGCCTCGTCAATCAAACTTACTGCTTTTTCAACATTATCTTTAATTTCATCACGAATAACCATGTTTCTCACATGATCACATAAAGATATAAGAGATTCCATTGTACTAAGCGATGTCGCAAGATTGTTCAAAGACACTCTCCGGTAAAAGTTTTCCAGGTCTAAATTTGAGATCGAAAGCTTTTTATTTTGAAACTGACGAGCAAGATTGAACGTTTCAATTCTCCGCAAACCAATAAAATTATCAATTACCGGAATGAATGTGGCTATTTGCCTCAAGGCGTCAATTTTAATTCGTTTCTTTGAATCGATAACTTCTTTTTGCACATTATGCAAATCGACAGCTCCCCATCCTTTGTAGTATGCTAATGATTTAAGGTCTCCAGCGCCGGTTTGAAAATAACACGGATTGAACTCATAGGGCGTTATATAAGTTACCAAATTAATAATAGTGTGATTTGAAGTTGTGAACCCAATTTTCCTTTCAACAGGCGTGATCAAATGGGGAATATCCACTTCTGAAAATGCCCACACCACTTTACCATCTCCGTAATCTTGAGACGGGTTTGATCCCAAATTAACTTGATAAATAATCTGAGACGCCACGTTAAACGTTGCAACATGTCTTAAGCTATGAAGATAAGGTTCTAAATATTTTGCCACGGCTTCTTGAATATCCCAGCGGATCAATTTGCGATCGTACTTTTCTGGTTCTGGGTTTATAAGAGTGAACACCAAATCATATTCTCGTTTCGGCCCCAGAAGCTTCTCGGGTTTTTTATGGCGTCGGTATTCCTCTTTCTTGTTGAAGTCAAACGTTTGGACTCTGATGTTGGATGTATACTCGTTGTATAATGTAATTTCTCCGATCACTCTGTACTTGATAAATTTGCACAACTTAGCGACGAGGATCTCCAGATTGCATTTTAAGTCTCCTGCATAAAAAGAAAATCAGTCAAGTTTTACATAACTGCATATTAATTTTATGAAACATTAATTTTTACCCCACACATCACTCCCCCTGACCTGACCCCAAGTAGCGCTTACCTAAAAGCTTTTTGCTATAAATGCCTAAATCTTAGTATATTTTGCAGCCCATTGAAATACTAAAAAAAGATGAGCAAAAAGACTCTTGACATAAATAAAACTTGTAGCAGTAATAATCATAATTTGTTTTTTCTAAATGAAAACATAGCCAACTGAGTTGGAAAAGAGCAATGAACGCAAGGAAACTGAAAAAAAAAACTGAAGCGTTTTTTCAAAAACCTTCAACTTTTGAATTTCGAAGAAAAAAATAGATGGCCATAAAGCTCTTAAAATTTGTAAAATAAATTATGATGGACACTTTTTTGTTAAAATTAACCCAATTTGAGAAAGCTGGATCAATAGGCAAAATTTTTATCTCGCTAGGATATCTGATAACTAATAACTATTTTCGTGACCTTTAAACATTTGCTGTTCGATAGTGGAGTCTGCCTTCCTTTTAACAATGGAATTGCACTGAATTTAACAATAAATAACGAGTCAAACCGCGAAAAATGAAATTGAGCGTGAACAAACTTTTAAAATTTTTCCTGAAAAAAAATCAGCAAGACCTATATAAGAGTTCTCACTACGTTCATTACTTTTAAAATGGTGATCAACATTTATTTCACTTATGAATATTTCCACTATTTTTGCTTTCGGGTCGATCTCAGCGAGATAATCCTCTGTTTCGCTCAAAGTCACTTCCTGATCTTCTCCCAGCACGTCAAAAACCACGTCCAGGTATCCATCCATTTTCTCATGCTTTTCTACTCCGCCTAGATAGAACATTGAGTGAATCTTGTGGCCACGACATTTCGAACAACAAAAAAAGCGACCGAACAAATTATTTTGGTTATTGTTAGTGATCAATTTCAGAAAGTTCAGAAAAATTAGTAAGAAAACTAATTAACTGAAAATTGTATATAAAAATTGGCTCTTCTAGCTCCAACGCACACAAACACACGCTCCACGCATGCACGCACACACATAACCCATGATTTGTTATAATTAACTTTTGTTCACTTCGTCCAATTGTGATTAAAACTGACGTAGGTTAATTATCCAATTTCAAACAAATTTTGTCCTCTTATGCTTAAAACCCCGTAAAATGAAAAAGAACACCGTAAACTTTATAATTATCTCTGGTGGATGGGTAAAGAAAGAGCCAAAAATTTTGAGTGATTATCTTGGATAACAAGACAATCAGTGAGGTAACTCAAAAAACAATATCATTACAACTTCATCGTGTGCTATTACTAGTTTAGACCAAAGCATGTTGCTTTTGTTTTTTAGGCGTACCTTCATTTAATTGTCGCTCACCTAGCCAATCCTCCCTTATGACGTCATAATTGAATTTGACAGCCGACTGCTGCTTGCCATCTCTCAATTGCTGTTCTCGTGACGTCATAGCCAGTTCATACTGCAACAAAGAGGTCAGTTGGTCTTTGAATTCATCAGTCATCGCATTATTTCTACTTGCGAATGAAACGTACAATGGAATGGAAAGCTGGACTGTTTTCGAAACAAATTCGTTCACTTTTGCCTCCGGCAGCTGAGCCCTGTACACTGTTGTTGTGTGCCACCAGATTGGAAATCCGATGAAAACTGCCATCATCAGGTAGAACACAGAAGACTTGACAGTTGTGATTCGCTCACGCTCATAATACTTCGTCATCACGTCTTCGTTCATGGCTACACGCTATTTTTGACACTCTTAATTTACGCTATTTTTGAACACAAAAATTGTCAAATCATTCTGTCCATATCTGAAAGTAAAGAAGACATCAAAAATTGATTGGATATTTGGCTCTCAGCTTCAAATTGTATATAGAATATAAATAGTCCAGACATCCAAACTTTAGATCGATTTTTGCCGGCACAGTTTCAATTTTTAAAAAAGTTTCCGCTGCAGTTCAAATCGTGACATCACTCCAAGATTTCTTATGGTATCCGCTTTTGTGACTAAAAACACTTACAGGAGCAGACACTCTCTAGTAAGAACATTGCACATTTATCCCAGATTCATCAACCCTAACGGTCGAAAAGCTCTTCTCTTTAGAACATTCCTAAAACGGAAAATAAAAGGTGATAACTTCAAACATTCGTGTCATTTGTCAGATTCGTGTCATTTGTCAGATTTGTGTCAGAAACGGAAAACTTTTTCGACACACATTTTTGATATTTTTTCAGATACTGAGTAAAGATCAATCGAGCACCAATATGACAAAACATCTGTCAATCCCCCAACGAGCTTATTTGAGAAACTTAAAATTGGGGAAAACATCAATACATATTCCATAGCTTCTTCCCATCACTTAAATGTTTTGATTTGATCAAAACCTGATATTTTCAAATGATTTGCTAATTTAGTCATCGCTGTTTTAACACTTCTAATTGGTATTTCAAATGAGCTGATATTGAAACTAGATAATTTGAAGCTGAGCATGCTTGAATTTGCTCAAGTTTTTTTGTCGCAAAATAAATAAAGCTCCCCAACCAAATGAATCATTCGGAAGTGTAGTCACTTGAATAGCTTTCATACGTTTTAGCGAACCATTTCAATCTTTAAGATCAATTTGAATATTTCGAAGATTCATTGTTTGAAAATTATGCTTGGAAAACTTTTCGTGAATCAATTCAAGCTACTTTAACCGTCTTTGAACTCAAAGTTTCCCCCTCGAAAATACAGGCGTGAAAAAGTGTTTGGATTGGTTTTAAGATTGGTTTCGAGTATCGCAATAACGTGAAGTAAAAAATATATATACTCAAGAATGAAACTTTTCGTTTGTGAACAAATTGTAGCTATAAAAATTTGAAACACATGTTAATTTCATAATCTAATTATGTAAGATCTAATTCAATTACCATTTTTTATCGACACTAAAACAAACTTTTTGTTCCGACCATTGATAATGGGGAGGAACTTTGTATTCGCGTGTTTTAGTTCTTTCTTTTTTGTTTTCAACGCAAAATCAGGTCTAACAAATAATCATTGGAATATGTCGAGTGATATATCATATTAAAGCCCTTTCAGTTGCGATTTGAACGACATTAACAACATTCCCAGTGTCAAGAAAAACGGGTTTAAATTTTTTTTAAATTTCGACCCGACCGATTAAGGCGAGCGATTTCCAAAAAATGTGCCAAATTCGAGAAAAACAAGTGGGAATAGTTCGAGTGATATATCATATTAAAGCACTTTCAGTCGTGATCAGAATTGCATTAAAGAAACTCCAAAAAGTAGTCCAGTATCGAGAAAAACAGGTTTTTTTTAAGTCTAAACTCGAGCAAATAATGCAATCGAGCAGGCTTATAATAGCTTTTTTGCTTAATTTAGGCCGAAAGAACTTAGTTGTAGAGGCTTAAAGTTGTTTTTGGAGTTTGTTTAGCGCCATTTGGAAATTAAAAATTTCTGCAAAATAATTTTTTTTGACTTTTTTGTTTTCTTAGTGATTTTTCTACAATTTTTACTTATTTTACTTTAAATGTCAAATATTTCTAAGTTCCAGTTTTTCGTTCAGATCCTCTTATCACGCCACGCAGAAAAAAAACGACCCTATATTAAAAAAAAACCAAAAACTTTTTTTTTGTATTTTTTTATTCTATGGTCGGAACATTCTGCGCTACTTGCACAGTAACGGGTCGTTCTTGTCGGCAAATGAAAATTGAACTCGAATCACGATTGGAAGGGTTTTCATTTAATGAATGACCAATTTTCATATTAGGTTTCTATGTGCAATTTTTTTAGATCCGGATCTGATAATATTTAAAAGTCAATACGGAAATTGACCTCGAGGTAACAAACTTCGCTGGGGGTACAGACATTCAGAACTTTTTTGTACATAATTTTTTCAAGACTTATTAGTATCCCAACAGACAGTTGGAAACTGTATAAAAACAAGAAAACCGAAAAATTGATTGAAATGTTATCTTTTTATCTTGATTAAAATTTTCCACATTTCGAAATTCGAAGAAAAGCAATCACGTTGAAGCTCTTGGAGTTTTAAATATTGTATATCGTGAGATCTAAATTATACCATTTAGAGAGAACTGGATCAAGTCCATTTGTGAAACTAGAAGTCATTCACATTTTTTAGATCTTTTCTTTTTTGCTGTTCGATAGTCGATTTTGGCTTCAATTTAAAAAAAATGAAAAAACATAGCCGATCGAAGATTGGAAAAGAGTAACGAACGCAAGTAAACATAAAACACTTTCTTTAAAAAAATCTCAGTTTTCCAGTTAAGCTCTTTGAATTTCTATAAAGATTTATGATTGGCGTTTTTTAGATAACATAAAGCCAACTTGAGAAAACTGGAAAACAAGTAAATTGTTTAATCCACTGAAAATCTAAAAATTAAATTCCACTTTCGAAACTAAAAATCGTTCACCTTTTTTCCCGCCATTTCCACGTTTGTATTTGGAGAGTGCTGTTTACGTCACTTTGAGCAGATTAATTTCAATTGAACTTAAAAAGTGCTTATATACCTAAGTGCATTCATAAATGCATCAATAGTATGAATGCACATCTGTAGTTATTCAGACTTTTCCTGAAAAAAAAGTCAGTAAGACCTATATAAGAGCCTTCACTACGTTCACTACTCTATAAAAAAATTAGAAATCAAGACAAACAGCGGAAAATAAAAACTGAGCTTGACAAATAAGACTTTTTCTCGAAAAAAATCATCGAGACATATATAAAAGAAAATCACTTCGTTCTTGAACATTGGAAAAACGGACCCTTCTCCATATTTCCTTTCCACTCTTCGAGCTGAAAACTTCGTTCATTACAATTGTCAGATCCCTAGCATTTTTCTAAGACGACTTCGGTGCCAATCAACGGCAAACTTGAGGTAACAAAACAAAAACACGGCTCACATTTCAAGAAACATTTTCAGTCTCTTGGTGTTTTCAGTGCGTTATTTCAATTGGTTGACTTTATTTTCATTCACAAAAACTTGGAGCGATGAAATTTAATAATTTTGAGCTTTTACACCACAACCGTTTTCAATTAATTAAACATAGCCAACTGACAGATTGAAAAGAGTAATGAACGCAAGGAAACTGAAAAAAAACTGACTTGTTTCTTCAAAAAACAGTTCGAAAAAAAATAGATGGCTTTACAGCTCTTTGAATTTGTAGAACAAAGTATGATGGACACTTTTTTGTTAAAATTAACCCAATTTGAGAAAACAGGATTAATAGGGACAACTTTTATTTCGCTGGGAAATCTGATAATTAATTTCCATTTTCGAAATTAGAAGTCGATCACTTTTTTGTGGTTCGATAATGGTTTGCCTTTCTCATAACAATAGAAATGCACTGAACTTGAAAAGAAACCACAAGTCAAACCACGAAAAATCAAAATTGAGCGTGAACAAATTGTAAGAATTTTTCCTGAAAAAAAATCAGCAAGACCTATATAAGAGTACTCACTACGTTCATTACTCTCAAACAATGTTTACGCATAAAATATACGTTTCTCGTCAACGATTCCGATGTTTTTGTTGTTTACGCATAAAAATAACACGTTTCTCGTCAACGAGTCCCATGGGTGATTTTATTTTCTCCTCCAAAACAAAACTGCGAAATCATATTTGACACGGTAAACGTTATCAATACAACTAAAAAGCATTCACAGGTATGAATCCAGTTTAAGGGTAACGGAATAGCGCTGTTGTAATTCACGAAGCTATAGAAAAACAATCACATCTGGGATTACTATATACACGAGAAAGCATCAAACACAAATACTGGGTCCAAATTGATACGAAGAAAGGTAAAACAACACAGAAACGGCTAGCTAACTTGAGGTATATACGAATTGCATGATGACAATTTTTGAGGAACATGATTTTGAAAAGGCTCTTTGGCACAAAATCAACCTTACAGTACTAAATTTCAAAATACAAGACATACAAAAATTAGCATCATCAATTGAAAATTACCAAATAAAAGGCACTTTTGTAGGTGTTATAAACATAGACTTATTGCGCGATATAAAAATATAACAAAAGTTCCAATCATTATTTCTCCATCCTAGAGATTATCTCTTTTTTGAGATCTTATAACCAAATTGGAAAAAGGATTGAGGCTATCTTTAATAGAAACATCGTTTAATTACGGACATGAAATCATTGGTAAACTTAGGCTTCTTTTTCTGCAACATTTTCTAATGCAACTTGATCACCTTTTCCTTCGTCCTCGTGATAAGTTGAAATCGCGATACTGAACAAATACTGTATTTTTTTGAACACACCGTGCAAGAACGGCAGTTTCAGTTCGAAATGCACAAACGGAATATAATAAACCAATCCAAAAACTATGAAGAGCACTGCTCCTATGTACTTGTAGCTGAACTCCGAAATAAGAGGCGCGATTATGAGGTACAGCGCACATACGCAGAATATGACTGGTATGAATATGGGCACTTTGAATTCTCGGTGTTCGTCGGGCATCTTGAAGCGCAGCACAATCAGACCAAGAACAGTGATGAAGTAGAAGACCCAGGCGGCGAAGCTGAAGTACTCCAATAGGTCATTGAAGTCTCCTGCTAGTACGTAGAGTGTGCTCACAAATACAGTGACGATAACTCCTGTAAAATAAGCATGAATGACACTATTTCGAAAGAATTTATGTACTTTACCGCAACTATTCATTCGCCATTCCGGGTCGATTAGATTTTGAAAAAAAAATCAAAACTGTTCAAAATACCAGAAAACTAATAGTTACTATCTTCGACTTCATATAACTCAGGCAAAACCTGGACCAATCAAACAACATCAGGGCAACCAATTGCTATTTTAACTTACCTAACACTGGAGTTTGAAAATCGACGTGACAGAACGACAGAATCCTGGGTAAGTGACCTTCTCTCGCAGTGGAGTAAGCAATCCTTCCGCACGCAAACATCTCGCCATTAGTGGATCCGAGAGTCGAGAAACATACAGAAAGGGGGATCACCCAGACTATATATTTCGGCAACATCTCATTTCCAAGCACAATTGCCAGTGCCGATTCGTTTAGAACTTGATCTTTAGTTAGGACTCCAAAGTATGCGACATTCATTAGCAGATAGCATACCATGACTAGCGGGATTCCGAGGATGATAGCTAGAGGGAGGTTCCTCTGAGGATTTTTCAGCTCCTCAGTCAGAAAGTTCAGTTGATTCCAACCGTCATAAGAAAAGAGACCCTGGTAGAAAGCTAGAGAGAGATGGAACACGTTGGTTTCGCTTCCTTCGAATCCACTTGCTAATGTAGCTGTGTTGCCTTTAATTATTTTAATCAGACCCAGAATTACAATGAAGATGATGGCGAGGATTTTGGCAACCATGCAAACTGATTGAACCTGAAGCAAAGAATATATTTCAACGCAGAAGCAGATGTATTTTCAATTTCTTCCGCTGCAATCTACCGAGGTACTTCAGAATAAACACTGGACAACAGCAATGCTAGTGGCATGAAATATACAGTTCCACTTTCTAAAAAGCGATATAATTTCCGTCTAAAAATTATCACTAAAACGGCCGTAGAATTTAAGTTTAAAATGTTTGCGATTGGGCGATAGGTATCGTTTAATTGAGTTACCTTGTTTGATAGGTTTACACTATAGATGTGGATGAAGCCAATGAGCCAGATGACAGCTATAGCGATCAGCCTTTTTGTCTGAACCATCTCTTCTTCACACGAGTTCGACTCATCTGGGAATATCTTTAAAGCGTAGTCAGCAAAGGTCAGACTGAAAAGCGGAGTACAACGATTTTAAGAATACCTACAAATAAATATCATAAATGCCTGATTTCCAAGACAGTGCTTTCTTGCGCTTCCACTGACTTTCATGCCAAACGAACCTAAAAGTCTACGCTGTGTCAACAAAAAAACACACCTACCTGATTGCAGCAGAGGCAGATGGTTTCAAAACCACTACTGTTGTCCACGAGAACAGATAGGCAGCCACGGGTCCGAAGGCAGCCTTGATGTATTGGTATTCTCCTCCGGACTTTGTTATTAATGTTCCCAATTCGGCGTAGCACAGTGCACCCATTAAACACAGGAGACCACAGAGGCCCCAAACAATGAGGTCAAGAGCTACACTTCCAGAAGCCGCTAAAGCTCCTAAACAGGCCACAAACCAGCATTAATTGAGCCAATTTGAGTTTATGTTCTCCAACTCTGAATTTACTTGTTCCACGTCTAGAAATGATAAGCAATTATGGCAAAGGGGGGATGTTTCGCCGGCATATTTTAGGCACTTTTGGGCAAAAGCTTGTATAAAAACAGTTCCTCGGCGTTAGAACTTCTGGCTATACAGACACAAATTAGCTACAAACTAAACTCTTCATTTTGAGAAAGAACTGCGCATTTTGAGATTTTAAAAGCATATCATATCCGTTGGGTCAAGAAATTCACTTGATAAAATTTTCAATGGATTTTGTTTGTTTTTCGGTAGAAAAAGCTTTTAGTAGGATCATTCTGACCTACTAGCACAGCAATCGGCTATCCTCCTTTAAAAATAAATTTGAACGATATTTTGACAAAACAGATTTTTGTCTCTTCTAACCTGAGGGACTTGCAAAGATTCCGGAACCAATCATAGTCCCCACAATAAAGGAAATACCGCCGAACAACCCCACTTCCCGCTTAAGCTCGACGGCATCTGAAGGTCCATTACTAGTTGTCATTTCGAATAAGCTAAATTTTGGTGACCGCTTCTTTGTAGATAGCAGGTATATGAACAAACTATTCAAACATAACCATCAGATCAGAATGTACATCATCAGAAATCTCTGAAAATACAAATCCGATAAAACCTGATAAGAGACTAATCAAAGTTATACTATCAAACCAAAGGCAATATATTAAGAGAAGAGAAGATATTTTAAATGATAGAAAGAAACTGCCATGCCATAATAAATCTCCCAGCATAATCACTATTGGTTTCATGTTTTGAGCAGCGATGAGCAAGTTCCACGAGCAAAACTTACCCAAGGGGAAATTACTGAACTTTCTATCTAGTCGAAATAGCATGATTTTGTACTGCTTTACTGCTTGATGACGAGATCAGGAGTAGGAAATAATAGTCACCTTCTGCCAAAGTTGGCCTTTTGGGGGGGGGGGGGTGTGTGGGGGGGGGGGTGTGGTGGGGGGGGGGGGTACGGGAGAGAGAAGGGGGGAAGGGAGGGAGGGGTGTATACATAGCCTTTAAAATGAAAACTCCACACAAAACACATTTGGTTAAATTATACTAGCGTTTAACACACCTTCGGTGCTTCGAAATTTTTCGATAGCTCATGAAAAACCGCATTTATTGGAAACAACATCTGCAAACTTTTAGTGTACTCAGACTGCAGCCAATTACAGGGTTGGTAATTTCAAACTTTTAAACTTTTTTTAAGTCCCATATTAAAAGCGTCATCTGGAAAACTTAATGGGCCTCTGGAGAAATTTGGAGGCCAGAATTGCAAACCCTGAGATTCCCTGAGAGCACCCTACTATAGGGTTAGGAATCTAAGATTTTGTGAATTTTTTTAAACCTGTTTCCCGAAAAAAAAAAAATAGAAAAAGACGTCTTATCTCGGAAACTAAAAGGATTAAGCATTTAAGTTATGAGGCAAGATTTAAGACGCCTGGGTGTACGCTGACAATAAGGTTGTATCTTCATCAAGTTACTAGTTTCATATTTTTTGAATTTCTTTGTAGATAAGTTCTTTGAGAAATTTTGAAAAAATCAAAAAAGGTGACATCTCGGAAACTAAAAGCATTTGAGCAGTCGCGTTCAGCAGTCGCATGTGGCAAGATTTACAACTCTTTAGAGTACCCTGACAACACCGAACTATAGCGTTGGAAATTCCAAATTTTAAAAAATACTTAATTTAAACTTTCTGAAGTTTTCTGGAAATTTTTGAAAAAAATCACCAAAAACGTCATATCTCGAAAACTACAAAAAATTGAGCAGTCATATTCGGAGGCACGATTCGCAATCTTCGAGATTATTCTGACAGCACCCAACTACAAGATTGGGAATCTCAGATTTTCAAAAAATCATAATAATTTAAATTTTCTGAAAATTTTTGAAAAAACCACAAAAAAACGTCATATCTCCAAACCTAACAAGAATTGAGCAGTCATATTTGGAGGCAAGATTCGCGATCCTTGATATTACTCTGACAGTACCCAACTACAGGGTTGGGAATTTCAGATTTTCAAAAAATCATAATAATTTAAATTTTCTGAAAATTTTTGAAAAAACCACAAAAAAACGTCATATCTCCAAACCTAACAAGAATTGAGCAGTCATATTTGGAGGCAAGATTCGCGATCCTTGATATTACTCTGACAGTACCCAACTACAGGGTTGGGAATTTCAGATTTTCAAAAAATCATAATAATTTAAGTTTTCTGAAAATTTTTGAAAAAATCACAAAAAAACGTCATATCTCGAAGACTACCAAGAATTGAGCAATCATATTTGGAGGCAAGATTCGCGATCCTTGATAGTACTCTGACAGTACCCAACTAAATGGTTGGGAATTTCAGATTTTCAAAAAATCATAACAATTTATGTTTTCCTGAAAATTTTTGAAAAAATCACAAAAAACGTCATATCTCCAAGACTACCAAGAATTGAGCAGTCATATTTGGAGGCAAGATTCGCAATCTTTGAGAATAATCTGACAGAACCCAACTACAGGGTTGGGAATTTCAGAATTTTCGGAAAAAAATTGATATAGGTTTTCTGAAAGTTTTTTGAAAAAATCACAAAAAAACGTCATATCTCGAAAACTACAAGAATTTGAACAGTCATATTTGGAGGCAAGATTTGTAACTCCTTAGAGTACTCTGACAGCACCCACTACAGGCTTGGCAACTTCAAGTTTTGTAAATTATTTTGTTATTTGAAACTTCTGAAAAAATCGTCTTATCTCGTTAACTAAAATGATTCGGACATTCAAAATTGGAGGCAAAATTCGCAACCACTAATTCGATATTGGGCTGCTTTAAATTGGGTAAAATAACCACTAAAATCAAATTGGAAAATCGAAAAAAATCTTAACCATTGCATTATACGATATAGCTTAAACATGCAAAAATAATACGTTGAAAAAGCTTAAACATGGCGAGATAGTGAAGCCCGCATTTAAATATATAATAGATTCGATATTGGGCTGCTTAATTTAAATTCGGTAAAATAACCACTAAAATCAAATTGGAAAATCGAAAAAAATCTTAACCAATGCAATATACGATATAGCTTAAACATGCAACAATAATACGTTGAAAAAGCTTAAACATGGCGAGATAGTGAAGCCCGCATTTAAATATATAATAGATTAGCTAATTCATATGAAGTAACTTTTCTGAGCTTTGGGCCACTTGCGAACCGAGAAAAACAGGCACTACATAATATTCCTATCACGGACATTTTATGAGCAAAATAAGTAAAAAAATAAAGTAGTTACGCTCCGTGCAAAAGCTGGATAGGTCCATGCCAGTCTTACATAAACGCTATATACCAAAGAATGATTGTACCACTCAATTTTTTGATGGATACATTTTAATGATAAATAAAACTTAAATCGCAAACTCTATGTTGGGATAAATTTTTATGAGAACAGTTATGTGCTTTAGTCATTTCATTCTATTTAATTATTTAAAAAATGCCAATGTTGAAATTAAGAGTTTAATATGTCGGCAAATTTACATTAATCGGTAACTAAATCTAAAAATTTCGTTAGCAGGGATAATTTTTGGTAGTTTTTTCGAACTTTTTTCACCACTGATAATTTTCCAGCATTCTTGATCAATTTTCCGGCTATAAAACGCTTTGGTTTATTTTTTGAAATATAGTTTCTAATAAATGTTGTTTTTGGTGGTGCACAAGCTTTAGTACATTGCAATACAAATGCATGAAAACTTTGGAACATTTTTTCGGAATCTAAATCTTCAATTCCAATCCAATTTTAAAAATTCAACTTGTTTTTATCCGAGATTGTAAGTTTAAAAAATTTAGCTTTTTTAGCCACTAGATCAGTGACAAAAAGATAGCAAGAAGATCAGTTTAAATACGATGGTTTCAAAACGAAAGACTTGGTTGATGCATCAAATTCACAGCTATCATTGCTTATGCAGCGAATTTACTTCCTTAATGAGTTTCATTGCTTTAAATTTTAACCGCGAGATCAATTGGCATTAAGATTGTTGTAATGACTCTTTTCCTTTTGTACTCATGTGATTCATTTTTGTATAAGTAAAACAATTTGGATTCCGCGCATCATTTCCAGCCATGATGAGCTAGAATACTGTACGGAATCCTTGCGTAATTCATTGCTACGCGTAATTCAGTACCGAATCATTGCTAATAAAGTTGTTGCTGCCTCCCTTCCTTATCTTTTGAAGGTATTTGCCTCCATCAATCACAATTTTGGTAATATTTGGTCCGAAGAGTTTCTTGCTAACGAAATAAGCATACAAAATCCAATTCGTATCAATTTGACTTCCAACAGAAAAATGACTTTCAAGAATTTGCTGAATCAGTTGATCATGTTCGAACATTGAATTACACGCTAACTCTTTTCGGTGCGTATAAATTCTTTCACATTTTTAAAACTGGTGAAATTTCCGTCCAAATTATAATTTTTGATCAATTTGTTCTTTGTAAAATTTACAAGCTCTGTATTGTATCAAAAAACCATCTGCATTTGTTCTTTAAAACCATAGTTGTTCAATCTTGAATGAAAACGCATTTGAGTTTTGGATGGTCAATTTTTTTTGCACCGGGTTTCTTTTTTAAAGTTGAACTGCTACTGTATGATTGAATATAGTATCATCAACTACAACAGGCTTGCCAATATTTTGACAACATACCTCATTGAAAACGGACTAGTGACGATGTCTTTTGATAGGGACATTGGTTTTTCCCTCATGAAAACATAAACAAATCAGGCAAAGCTTACCCAATTACTAATCAGGAAAAATTAAGACAAGAGAACACGAATGATTCCTTTTTTGTAAAAATTGAGAACCATCTGAGCAAAGAATTACTGGACATGAAAAAAGACGGTCGTGGGATCTCGGCTGAGGAGTATAAAGTCATATCAGAATAAGTTTGAATATATATATTATGGAATGAGAGAATGAGGTGAACTTAACAGGTTTGAAAATTTTCCTACGGTACGGAGAGGATATTGCTAGAACAGTAGTAGGCGACCACGTGTTTTACCAAAACGCCAATAAATTGCACCCTAACTTACAGTTCACCGTTGAAACACATAATGAGAATGTCGACTACGCTTTTTTGAACATTGATAGAAAATAAGATGGCAACAAGCAAATTAGATGTGGGTGGTATCGAAACCAAACAATAAAAGGCACTCTTCTTAACTTCAGTAGTTACATATGTGAAGTCGAAAAAAAAAGATTATTGAGAGTACGGTGCACAAGATTTATAGGAGCCCATCCAGAGGATTGATCATCCAAAGTTGAGTCGGAAACACTAAGAAAAACAGTTGGGGCAGAAAAAAGTCATTTTAAAGGGAAAATCGAGCAGCAAAAGACAAGCAAGACGATAAACCCCCGATGCTCATGCTTCAATCTCAAGGAAATCAAACTCAATTGATGACAAGCAAGGTGCGCAGCATCACACGCACAGCTTAGGCATACGGTCCGGAAAAATAAAACCGTTCTTCCCTACCTGAAGTCGCAATTTTTGGGAAATTTGAAATCCAATGTTGTCTACAAATTTTTTTGTTGTGAGTTTAATTCCACCTATATTGGGCAAAATGATCGATAACTGGCCACAAGGAATGAAGAAAACATAAGTCGA